TTTTAGTAGAGACGGGGTTTCACCATGTTGACCAGGATGGTCTCGATCTCTTGACGTCGTGATCCACCCGCCTCGGCCTCCCACAGTGCTGGGATTACAGGCTTGAGCCACCGCGCCCGGCCTTGCCTGTAAAATTTCTTATGCCAAAACAATTTAGATAATAGAGTTGTAAAAATATTATTATAGAGTTATTTCTCTCAAGCTCTAGTACTGTAGAATAGATTGAAGGGGTGATGATTTCAAACAATACCTCTCCATTAGCTAAATTTTGTATAGAATCTATTGCATGTTTTAAGTGACAAGTCAGATTTATAAAAATATTTTTATAAACAGTAGGTCATGAGCTTAGGGTTGTTCACATACACAGTTTTAATTTTTATTTGTATATTTAAAACATATCATGGTATAAAGTATAATATAAATTTGAGTAAAGGAAGTATTATTTGAGAATTGATGAACTAAATTTATTAAAAGATGTCATCACCAATTGGATATGGTTTTCTAGCCTTATAAAAAGTGGTTACAGTAAAAAAGATTGACTATACCTGACAAAACACTGTCCTTTCATTCTGACCTAGACCAAGAGAAGCAAAGTTACTATGAATCCATGAAGAAAGAAAGTTGTAATTGTTGGTTTTGTATATTTGTAATTAGTGTTTATTTCCATTTCTTGTGAACTGACACTGTACTTCGTTGTGAATAGACTACTTATAATCTATGTACTCAAATTAAATTCTAGGGAGAAAAGTTCATATTAACTGTAAAATAACATATGATTCTTCTCTAAAACAAAAACGTCATCTGGCATTATATATTTTTAACTAAGAAGCATGGGGATCTTTTTTTCATTTTAACAGGGAATTGACATAGGGGATAGCTTAACTATTCCAGATGAATTCACAGAAGATGAAAAAAAATCCGGACAATGGTGGCGGCAGCTTTTGGCAGGAGGCATCGCTGGTGCTGTCTCTCGAACAAGCACTGCCCCTTTGGACCGTCTGAAAATCATGATGCAGGTGAGCTTTATTATCATGTGTCCAGGTTTGCCCTAAATAGTCTAAAACAATGAGAAATGTAGTGCTTTGAAAAAGAAGTTTAAAAATTTCTCAGTAATAATCTTTTATACCCTAAAACGTATACCTATTTTGTTAGTGTTAACTCTAAATTCAGTCCTTGAAAGTATGGCAGTGTACCAAACTTTAAATTTTTAATACATGTGTGTAATGAATTTTTAATCTTTGGGATTCTCTGACTATTCAAACGTTTAATTTTAGAAACATCTCTAGCCATTATTGTAGGATTCTCCTTATTTATAGCTCCCTTCTTTCTTATATACTTTACCAGAAGTTGAAGTATCTCTGAAATCTAGAATCATAGAGCAGCAATGTAATTTTAAAAATTATTCTAAAGCTGAGGTTAGCAGAAAAAGATCTGGCTTTGTAGACTGACTTTGCTATTTACTAGCAATGTGAATTAGGCTGACCAGAGTGGAAAGAGGGAAAGGAAAAGAATTAATATGTAGTTGCTCATTGTGGTAACCCAGCTAATCCTTGCAGCAGCCCAGTGAAGCAGGTGTTTTATCATTTTTCCAAGGGGAACCTGAGGCCCAGAGATTTAACTTTTCCTTTACAACAAATGAGAGGAGGAATGGAGTATCTTTGCCTCCAATGCTCCTGGTTTTCATGCTGCTTGAAACCTCTGAGGTCTCATTTTCCTTCATTCTGGAATGGGGATAAGAATATCTAACAAGAATGGTTGTAAGAATCAAACAATATGAGGCATGTGAAAATGCCCGGCACACTGGCATATCCTTTTGGAACGTAGTAGTTGTTTACAAAATATTTTTAAAAGCTTGTTATACCTTTGGTCAGCACTTTGAATGTTTGTCCACAGATTCATGTACAAAAAGATTTCTGACAGTATTTTAAGCTAGCATTCCATCAGAATGTCCCCAAATCACAAAATGTATTTAGGGGAAAGCTAATGCTTTAAAGAAAAAGGAGAGAGGATTAGTGTGTGTTTTTCTTTAGGAATAGTAGTAACTTGACTTTTAGAGAACTTAAATAAGTGTTCATTTTTTCCTTTGTCCTATTTTATTGTGAGATTTATTTATTTATTTAAAATAAAATGGATTTCTCTGGAATTTAGTTCTGCAAATTTAAAAAGTTTCCAAAGTCAACCTTCAGGTTCAATACTTCTCTAGGATTCCCAGAACTCACTGAAAGCTTATTACCCCTGGTTACGGTTTATAACAGGGAAAAGACATGGTTGAAAATCAGTCAAGTAAAGAAGCTCATAGGGCGGAGTTTCTGTTGTGTTCTCCCTGTGAAGTTCCCACATCTTACTTTCCTGGCACTGTTGTGTGGCACTAGGCACAGAGTGTTGCAGACCAACCAGGGAAGCTCACCTGAGACTTTGGTGCTGAGCGTTCTTAGCGGGGTCCATTTTCATACTGGCCACATGGCTGGACCTCAGGGTTCAACCCCTTCTGTGAATGCCTGTGTGTGTGTGTGTGTGTGTGTGTGTGTGTGTGTGTGTGTGTGTGTGTGTTGAGTGGCAGTCACTCCTTTTATGTTAGCTGAAACAATCAGAGGAATAGCTGATTTATTTGACTATTTTGGGTGTATTAGATTTAATCAGTTTTTATCTGTAGGTGGTCATAAGGTACAGTATTTTTAAATGACTACCACATCTGTAGTATAAGTCAAATATTTTATCAGTACTCACACGATTGGTACATGTTGTAATGAATTTATTGCCTAGAGATGCCTCAAAATATGCCAAAGAAGGTGAAATTTTTATTTTTGGTTTCAGGCTGTATGTATTCCAGTGTTTTTAGCTCTGATATACACAATATCCGAACTATTTCAGACTCATTTACAGTTCATGTCTGTACTACTTCTTCTTAATATCTTACTCCTTCTCCTCAAGAATATAAACAGTATTAACTGCAGTATATGTAATATAATGTAATAATATATTATTACCTGCAGTATACATTTTATTTCTCTTTAACTGAGCTTGTTCATATTTCAAAGGTGTTCCATTGTCTGATATGTATCAGACAATGATACATATCAATGATACAATTTAGTTAATGTTATCTTATGAATGTTGTTCATAATTTAAATTTTCTTCTTGTGTTCTCTGCTTTCTCACACTGAAGACACCAATTATTCTTAGTTTTAGAGTTGAGACAGACCTCTAAAATCATGGCAATGCTCCCTCCCATCATTATATATATTTTTTCAAGCTTTCTATATTTATTTTCAAATATACTTGCAGTTAGTATTGAAAAAGATTGTGTGGTTACTTTAGAAAAAGTAATAATAATATGCCACCAGCATTTTATATCATTCTGCTTTTATTTTTTAGGTTCATGGTTCAAAATCAGACAAAATGAACATATTTGGTGGCTTTCAGCAGATGGTAAAAGAAGGAGGTATCCGCTCCCTTTGGAGAGGAAATGGTACAAACGTCATCAAAATTGCTCCTGAGACAGCTGTTAAGTTCTGGGCATATGAACAGGTAATTGTTATCACCTATGGAATTTATTAATAAAGAGGAGTTAGTAAACAGTTCAATAAATGTTAATGTATAATGCTTTTGGGATTCTTGTTTTAATAGGTGATTATCTCTCATGTATACTCTATAAGGAATATCACTTATAGGAGATTAGACTAAATAAAATCAGAGATTTCTCATGACCAAGTTATGGGATTCTTAATTCATCATATTATTTATAAAGAAAGTCTTTTTTTGTTTTTTTTCTAAGTAGTTCTTAAAGGAAGGGTAACAGTTTATTCATTCTGAATATTGAGCAGAAGCAGCACACTAACTACGTTTTATGAAAGCGTCTCAATCTGACCTCTGGAAGGAAAACTTATAAGTTGAAGTCCTTTGTGTAATTTGACATTGCTGTAAATTTGAGCTGAGTTTAGAGTGACAGCTCCATGAAGGCAGGGGCATGGCTTCTTCCCCATGTACTCCAGCACCTAGATAGAGCTTGGGACGTAGCAGGTGCCGAGTGAGTGCTGAATGAGTGAATGAGTGAATCAATGCATTTACCTTTGAATCACTTCTCTGCTGACTTTTGTTAACTTGGATGATTTGAGCTATTGCCTCAGCCTAACTCAATGTAAAGAGGAAGTACAGAGGTAAGTTTTAGAGGTTGGGTCCTGTTTATGGTCGTTAGCAGAACTGTCTAGTTGAGCAGCCACAGATTATTTTTTCCATTATTTATTCCATCATTGTTTATCAAAGACTGTGAGGGCTTTGAAACTCCACATCCCCTCCATAGTTTTTATATTATTTCCTGTTGATTTTGATTATTTTGGAAAGTGTTTTGTTCCTGAGCAACAGAATACTCTTGAGAAGGTTACAGAGTTTAGTGCTATCCTTTTCTTGGCCTAGGAAATAGAGAAGGAAAGAAAAAATTAAAGAAAACCTAGCCTCCAGGACTTTAATTGGAACCTATCTTTGGGAAGGTTATTTTCCTTATGTGAATATTTGAAGATTCAAATAATGATTATTAAGGGCTAATGTTTGAGATACCCTTAGGTTATTCTGACCACATACTTGGATTTTGTCATAGGAAAGCAAGAGCCTAAAATAAACAAATACTCAAAAATAATGCAGTTATTTCAGTATGCAAGAAGTTTGGTATTTTTGAAAGTCCATGGATATTGCAAGCAAATATGCACATTTTACTCCATATAATTTGTCAGATTCTTACCTTGGACATCACAAACAGGCATCTGTCCACCCAAGCTCCTTCCTGAGAACTCATTATAGTATTCTCGTTTCTGCACACTAGCTTTCTTGGACATCAAGAGAAAGCTGTCTACACAGTGTGGTGTAGTGTTCTTATGGGCTCTGGGCCTATGATAGTGTTTTCTCCCCTCCTGCTGAAGGTCCATTCATCCCTTGGGGTTCTCTAAAAGCCGTCTTCCTATGAGAAGCATATCCTAAGCATCTCAACCAAAACCAGTTCCTCCCCTGTCCAAGCTTCCTCGAGTGCTGAATTGCAGAATATCCCATTTTTCATTGAATAATCCCAGTTTGTTCTAAATTACTTCGAAATATGCAGCATGTATTCTCAAATTTCCCGGAGTATGTAGCTAGCTCACTTTTTGGATCAGTTAGGTTTTGTTCATTGAATAGCTAGCACTTTAGGAAACTAAGAAAAGGATCTTTTCAGCCTGGCATGTAGCTCTGTCAAACACATCATCAGTTTGGTAAAGCTATGTTCTTTGTGGGTTGTCATTACCATAGTGGTGTCATGGTATCATTGACAGGGTGGTAGTGTAGGGTGGTGTTCTTGGGGTTTCAGCTGCCATCTCTGTACTGACTGCCTCCCACTCCAACATCTTTCTCTTTATCTCAGCACCGTAGATCCACCTGTGTAATGCGTGTGTCGGCATCTCTGCTTGCGTGTCCCAGGAGTGCCTCCCACTCAACATGTCCACCATGCACAGTCATCTTTCTGCTAGTCCCTGTCTCCTGACCCTGCTCCAGCAACACACACACACAGATACACACACACACACACACACACACACACACATACACACACACACACCCTTCCCCTTCCTATATGTCATATGGTGGGGAATGTCCTTTAGTACCTTACTCAGGAGTTGGTTCCTCCGGAAAGCCTTCTGTTCTAGTTTCTTTTTCTTACAGCACTTTCACAAGGAATTCTGACATCCTCCCTACTTATCCCCTTTGTGAGACTGTGAGCCTCCTTAGGCAATAGCTACTTATATTCCTAGCACCTTGCCCAGTGCCAGGAAATCCTGATTAAGTGAATTTAAAAGACAGAACTGCCAGACGGGAATTTGAACTCAAGCTTGCCTCAATCTCTTGCCTAGGAGTCAATGGAAGAAAACGGTTTCATGGGGGTCAGTGCTACTGGGTAGTGAATATAATGAGTACCTTTTAAGGTTTCTCAACACAGAGATAGGTAAGCTTAGCATAATTGCTTCTGTGAAGTAATGAAATGAGAAGCCATACTGAAATGAGCTTAAAGTGAATGGGAGGTGATGAAACTTGGATGGTGGAGACACATTTTTAGGGAGTTTGACTGAAGGGACAGAAACTAGAAGAGGGAGAGGGTGATAGATAAAAAGGATGTTGGGTAGAGGGAGGATTTGTTTTTTGGGTTTTGTTTATTTGTTTGTTTGGTTTTGAGATGGAGTCTCGCTCTGTCACCCAGGCTGGAGTGCAGTGGTGCAGTCTCGGCTCACTGCAACCTCTACTTCCCAGGTTCAAGTGATTCTTCTGCCTCAACCTCCTGAGTAGTTGGGATTACAGGCGCACATCACCACGCCCAGCCAATTTTTGTATTTTTAGTAGACACACGGTTTCGCCATATTGGTCAGGCTGGTCTCAAACTCCTGACCTCAAGTGGTCTGCCTGCTTTACCCTCCCAAAGTGCTGGGATTACAGGAGCGAGCCACCGTGCCCAGACTGGAGGGAGGATTTTGATTTGACTTTAATGTATCTATTGCTGAAGGAAGCATGTCAATCCAAATAGAGAAGTTGAAAACATAGGTAAGAGAGGTTGATTAACCCAGCAGGTGTTCTGAGGGATTTTGTATGTAGGGAAAGGGAGTGGGAGTTAGAAAGGGGCTAGGGGAGATAGGTTCTATCCAGAGACTGCTAAAAGGACTAGCGGGGGTTCATTTCCCAGCTTGTAGACAGCCAGTGTGTGCTCACATGGCCTTTTCTTGGTGCACGTGAGAGGGAGGAGAGAGAGCAAGCTCTCTGGTGTCTGCTCTTATAAGAACACTGATCCTGTCATGAGGGCTCCATCCTGATGACCTCATACCCCCTATTACCTTCAAAAACCTCATTCCCTAATACCATCACATGGGAGGTTGGGGCTTCAACATAGGAATTTGGTGGGGATGCAGCTCAGTCCATGGCAGGTAGTGATGTGCATTTTAAAACTCATTTATACAGTACAAGAAGTTACTTACTGAAGAAGGACAAAAAGTTGGAACATTTGAGAGATTTATTTCTGGTTCCATGTCGGAGCAACTGCACAGACTTTTATATATCCAATGGAGGTGAGTACCGTTGTGAAGTCTGACTGTGTGGTGTTGTTTATGTTGGTTGTCTATTGCTGTGTGACAAGTTATGCCGAAATTCACAGTTTAAGACAAGCCTTTATCATTGGGCAGTTTCTATGGGTCAGGAATCTGGGTGAAGCTTAGCTGGATGTCTCTGGCTCAGGGTTTTTCACAGCCCACAGTCAAGGTGGCAGTCAGTGCTACAGTCACTCTGAGGCTTGAGTGGGGAAGGATTCCAAGCTCACTCATGTGGTTACTGCCAGGTCTCACTGGCTATTGGCTGGAAACATCATTTCCTTATCACATGAGCCTTTCTGTAGGCTGCCTGAGTATCCTCAAAACACAGTAGCTGGCTTCCCTATAGTCACTGATCCAACAGAAATAGAGAGAGAGAGAGAGAGAGAGAGAGAGAGAGAACCCAAGACGAAAGCAGGTGCATTTCAATGGGTCTGGTCGGACGGTGAGCAAAGCCCAGGCAGGACAGACTGAGGCAGGGAGGGCTTCTTTTTTTCTTCTTCTTTTTTTTTAAAAAATAAAAATAAAAATAAAGATGGGGTTTCACCATGATGGCCAGGCTAGTCTTGAACTCCTGACCTCAGGTGATCCACCCACCTCGGCCTCCAACAGTGCGAGGATTATAGGCATGAGCCACCGCTTCACCCAGAAAGTGCATCTGACCAGTGAGTCAGAGGCTCACTCTCTGGCACTCTGGTCCAGATACAGTGCTTATCCCAAAGCCTCAGCAATACACGGAACAGGGGATCTTTGCCAGTCAAGCGCTGGGAATTACAAGCGCAGAGTTGAATAATAATCCAGGATGGTGTCCCGGATTGTTGCACAGATCTAAGCAAACGCATAAGCCCATAAGCCAGCTGGGAGAGCCTGCAGACTGAGCTATTGCCCCCTCCCCCTGCCTGGAGAGAGAGGGAGCTGAAAGCCGGAAGACAGACAGTGGGACTGGCTGGGTCCCTACCCAGCCCAACAAACCCCAGAGGGCTGAAGCACTAACTCTAGCGGGTTACACAGCCACTGCCTCAGTCTGAGCTGAACACTGAATGATCCAGCCCTGTGGGGGAAAGACACAACCCACCATTGGCCATACTGCCCAAAGTAACTTATAGATTCAGTGCTATCCTTATCAAGCTACCATTGACTTTCTTCACAGAATTAGAAAAAACTACTTTAAATTTCATATGGAACCAAAAAAGAACCCACATAGCCAAGACAATCCTAAGCAAAAAGATCAAAGCTGGAGGCATCATGCTACCTGACTGCAAACTATACTATAAGGCTATGGTAACCAAAACAGCATGGTACTGGTACCAAAACAGAGATATAGACCAGTGGAACAGAACAGAGGCCTCAGAAATAACGCCACACATCCGCAATCATCTGATCTTTGACAAACCTGACAAAAGCAATGGGGAAAGGATTCCCTATTTAATAAATTGTGTTGGGAAAACTGAATAGCCATATGCAGAAGACTGAAACTGGACCCCTTCCTTACACCTTATACAAAAATTAACTCAAGATGGATTAAAGACTTGTATGTAAGACCTAAAACCATAAAAACCCTAGAAGAAAACCTAGACATACCATTCAGGACATGGGTATGGCCAAAAACTTCATGACTAAAACATCAAAAGCAATGGCAACAAAAGCCAAAATTGACAAACGAGTTCCAGTTGAACTAAAGAGCCTCTGCAAAGCAAAAGAAACTACCTTCAGAGTGAACAGGCAAGCTACAGAATAGGAGAAAAATTTTGCAATCTATTCATCTGACAAAGGGCTAATATCCAGAATATACAAGAAACTTGCACAAATTTTTAAGAAAAAAACAACCCCTGAAAAAGTGGGCAAAGGATAGGAACAGAGACACTCCTCAAAAGGAGACATTTATGCAGCCAACAAACATATGAAAAAAAGCTCATCGTCACTGGTCATTAGAGAAATGCAAATCACAACCATGATGAGATACCATCTCATGCCAGTTAGAATGGTGACCATTAAAAAGAAAACAACAGATACTGGAGAGGATGTGAAGAAATAGGAATGCTTTTACACTGTTGGTGGGAGTGTAAATTAGTTTAATCATTGTGGAAGACAGTGTGGCGATTCCTCAAGGATCCAGAACCAGAAATACTATTTGACACATTACAGGGCATATACCCAAAGGATTATAAATCATTCTGCTATAAAGACATATGTACGTGTGTGTTTATTGCAGCACTATTTACGATAGCAAAGACTTGGAACCAGTGCAAATGCCCATCAGTGACAGACTGGATAAAGAAAATGTGGCACATATACACCGTGGAATACTATGCAGCCATAAAAAAGGATGAGTTCATGTCTTTTTTGGGACATGGATGAAGCTGGAAGCCATCATTCTCAGCAAACTATCACAGGAACAGAAAACCAAACACCACACGTTCTCACACATAAGTGGGAGTTGAACAATGAGAACACGTCGTCAAGGGGAGGGGAACATCACGCACTGGGGCCTGTCGGGTGGTGGGGGCCAAGGAGAGGGATAGCATTAGGAGAAATAATGTAGATGACAGGTTGATTGGTGTAGCAAACCACCATGGCACGTGTGTACCTATGTAACAAGCCTGCATATTCTGCACATGTATCCCAGAACTTGAAGTATAATAATAAAATAGTGGGCAAAAACAAAAGAAAAGAAAAAGAATATACAACAAAGACCTAATATTTTAGGCTTGCAAAGACAACTATTTTATTATTTGGTCTTTATAGAAAAAGTTTTCTAACCACTGCTTTACAGCAAAAATAGTATTGTAGATGTGGAATTTATTGATATAGCAGAGGGTTTTTTAGTAACTGATAAGCAAGATAAATACAACTTTCACCAGCGTGTGGTATGCATGCTAATACAGCTTTCTTTGCAAGCATCTTAATATGACTGCTTATAGTAGTCCACACACCTCTCAAAGAAAACTCTTAATACCTATTCTTCCTTTTATATCCTCCGTATCAGTTAATAGTATCACCTTCCCAACTCTCACTGCCCCATAGTGTGTTTGTACTACCATTTCCCTCACCTTCCAGACACAGGTGGTCACCGGTCATTTTTGTTAAGACATCAGCAGATTATCCTGCCTCCATTTCCTTGGTCGCTTTCTTCATCAGATACTCCTTGCAGTAAATGGGTGTCTCTGGCTGTGGTCCTAGCCCCTCAATAGAGGTAATACGTGAGAGAGAATGTATCAACAAATTGTACAGTCAATTGAGTGATGATATGAGCTAGGTATATATTCTGTGTAAAATTACTTCATTTGAATTCTTTGATGATAGAGTTAACATGAATAATAATATTTTGTTATTTTATATCCAGGTTATGAAAACCAGGCTGGCTGTAAGCAAAACTGGGCAATACTCTGGAATATATGATTGTGCCAAGAAGATTTTGAAACATGAAGGCTTGGGAGCTTTTTACAAAGGTTATGTTCCCAATTTATTAGGTATCAGACCTTATGCAGGCATAGATCTTGCTGTGTATGAGGTGAGTTTATAGCAATCTTTTGAATCTGAAAATGCAGTTAAATAGCTCCTGTTAGAATTTGACTTCATATGATGAAGTAGATATAAACCAGAAAACAGTTTGTGACCAGAAGTAAATTCAATATGTGTTATTTGAACCTTCAAGTAACTTAAGTGTGAATGTGCATCAGGTCGCTTTTGTATTAGATTTCCTCAGGAATTGCTTTTGTTAATGAAGAGTAAACTCAAGGTTAGGTATAGTTGTGCACCTTAAAAGGTGATTCTAGTGACTGTTTTCAGGGAAGACACAATAAGCAAATAAGTTCCTTTGTTTTGGATTTGCAAAAATCTGACATTAAGCCAAGTGACCAATGTGACTAACGTGAGTAATACAGTTAGTTACTCATGTGAGTCATACAAGGAATAAAAAAAACAAATCTTGGATCAACCCTGCCATCTAAATCATTTAATAATTTATGAATCTTACAAACATGTGTTGAGCACACACTATGCAAACCACTGGGTTAGACACTAGATCTAGGGATTCAAAGGACTCAGTGTGTGCCTTGAAGCAACTGAAGGTCTGGTGGGGGAGACAGACAAACAACTAAAACCCAGTGTGGTTAGCTAGGCCGCCATGGACATCAGCCAGGGCACATGCTAGGATGGGACCCAAGCTGTGGCATCCAGGAAGGGGCGAATGTGTAATGAAAAGAAGACTTGACTTTTTGTTAAGGAGCTTTATTGAGATTTAGTTCATGTTCCCTACATTTCACTCATTTGAAATGTATAAGCAAATGGTTCTTGGCTTCTTAACATAATTTTTTAAATTATGATAAAATATAAAATTTGCCATTTTACTCACTTTTAAGTGTACAGTTGAGGGGCATTAATTACATTCACAATATTGTGCAGCCCTCAACACTATTTCCAGATCCTTTTCCTCACTCCAAACAGAAACACCTTAACCTTTAAGCAACAATTTCCTAGCCGCCCTAACCCAAACCCCTGGTGACCTCTAATCTGCTTTGTGTCTCTAGGAATTTACCCATTCAAGGTATCTTAGAAGTAGAAACATACAGTATTTTTCCTTTTGTGTCTGATTTGTTTCTCTTAGCACAATGTCTTTAAGGCTTGTTCATGTTGTAGCATGTATCAGAATTTCATTTCTTTTATTGGCTGAATCATATTCCATTGTGTGTATACACCATATTTTGTTTAGTCCTTCATCTGCTGAAGAACATTTGGATTGTTTCTACTTTTTGAATGTTGTGAATAATGCTACAGTGAACATTGGCATCTACATATCTGTTCAAGTCTATGCCTTCAATTCCTTTGGGTATTTACCTCGGAATGGAATTGCTGAGCCTTGTGGTCATTCTGTGTTTAGCTTTTAGGAACTATCAGACTGTTTTCCTTAGTGGCTGCACCATTTTACATTCTCATCAGCAACATACAAAGGTTCCAGTTTTTCCCTGTCCTTACAACACTTAATTTCCTTCTTTAAAAAGCTTATTTTTATTATAGCTGTCCTCTTAGGTGTGAAGTGGTATCATGGTTTAGGACTTTACTTCTTGTGCTGATTTTTTTGAAAATTATGATTAAAAACACATAACAAAGTTTATTATTTTAACAATTTTAAAATATATAGTACAGTAGTGTTAACTGTTTGTGGCTTGTTGTGCAACAGATCTCTAGAACTTTTCTACCTTGCAAAACTTAAACTCATTAAACAACAGCTCCCAATTTCCCCTTCACCCCAGCACTGTGTAACCTCCTTTTTCTATTATAAGTTTGACTACATTAAATACCCCATATAAGTGAAATCGTGTGGTATTTCTGTTTCTGNCCTGGGGTTCACCTGCAGCAGCTGCTGAACAGTAAGGGTTGTTACCAGTTTTCTTCTTCTGCTATCTTTGTCCCAGAAGGATACCCGCCTAGTGTCAATCTGATCTCTCCTTTATGAGGTGGCTCTTTGGATATATAGGGGTCAGGGAGCTGCTTGAGGAGACGGTCTCTTCTTTATAGGAGCTCAAATGGTGAGCTGTGAGCTCTGTTGTTCATTCAGAGCTGCTTGGCGGGTACGTTTAGGTCTGCTGCAGCAGAACTCATAAACTGCTCCAGGTGCTCTGTCCCAGGGATTTAGGGCTTTATGAGTTTTGGTTATGCTGCTGCCTTCTCTTTTTTTTTTTTTCCTTCAGAGCTGCCCTGCCCAGCAAGGAGGCAGCCTAGTCACTGTCTACCTGTAGAGGCTTTGCTGAGCTGCTGTGGGCTCTGCCCAGCTGCTGAGTGAACTTCCCTGCAGTCCTGTTTATATGAGTGTAGTTAGAACTGCTTTGGCGATGGTGGCCCGCCTCTATTGAGGCAGAGTCTCTCTGCAGTGGCGGGTTGCCTTGGCAATGGCGGGTTGCCTTGGCAACGGCAGGCTGCCTCAGCATTGGCCGACTACCTCCCTCGTGGTGGGCTGCCTCGGTAATGGTGGACACCCCTCCCCCACAGAGCTGGACCGTCCCGGGTTCAGCTGCGCTTGCTGTGAAAGTCTCAATCCAGAGTTTCTGGTTGCTGTTCTTTTGTGGGGGTGGGACCAGCCGAGCCTGATCGCCTGGCTCCCTGCCTCAGGGCTTTTTTTAAGTTGGTGTTCCAGTCGCCTGTTGAAGAGGTGCTCGGGTCTGTTTGTTTTCCCCTGCGGCCACTCACTGCGCTGGCTTAAACAGCGGCACTGAGGTTTGTGGCGCTTTTTTTTCTTTTTTTTTTTGCCCTGGAATCTACTGTCCTGGTTCCCTGCTCAGTCCCCTTTTTAAACAGACGAATGGGCGACTTCCCGTGGCTCCAGTCGCCAGCCAAAAGGGCACCCAGACCGGTGTATTTTGTACAGAGAACTGGAGAACCGCTGCTCCGGGGCACCGACAAAGCAGCTGCGCGGGGCAAAGCAGCGGCGCCGGCTGGCACAGCCACGCTAGCCAAAACAGCCGCGCTGGTGACCTGTGGAGCTCCTCCGGCTGGGAATTTCCTAGTCTGTGGGCAATAAAAATGTGGCGTCCACTCACCCTCTACGCTTTCACTGGGAGCTGCAATCCTGAGCTGTTCCTAAACGGCCATCTTGGATCCTCCCCAGGATTTTTTTTGTTTTGTTTTTAAGGCTGAATAATATTTCATTGGGTATATATATGTCACATTTTCTTTATTCGTCTGTTGATGGACATTTAGTTGTTTCGATATCATGGCTATTGTGAATAGTGCTGCAGTGAACACAGTTATGCAAATATCTCTTCAAGATATTGTTTTCAGTTCTTTTTGACATATACTCAGAAGTGGAATTTCTAGGTCAGATGGTAATTCTATTTTTAAGTTTTTGAGGAACCTCCTTGTCATTTTTCATGGTGAATATACTTTTTTTTTTTAACATTCCTGTCAACGTACACCAAGATTCCAATTTCTCCACATCCTCCCCAACACTGTTGAATGGGGTAGTGAAGTCTCCTACTATTACTGTGTTGCTGTTTTTTCTCCCTTCAATTCTATTAATGTTTGCTTTATATATTTAGGAGCTTAATATTAGGGCCACATATAGTTATAATTGTTATGTCTTACTGGTACAGTGACCTTTTTATCATTATATAATATCTCTCTTTGTCTCTTGTGACAGTGTGTGTCTTAAAATCTATTTTTTCTGATATAAGTGTGACCACCGCTGTTCTCTTTGGGTTCCTGTTTTTATGGAATATCTTTTTCCATCCTTTCACTTTCAGCTTATGTGTGTCCTTAGATCTAAAGTGAGTCTTGTAGACAAGGTATAATGGATTCTGTGTGTGTTATTCATTCAGCAATTTATATTTTTTAATTGGAGGATTTAATTCATTTACATTTAAAGCAATTACTGACAAGGAAGGGGTTACTCTTGTCATTTGGCTAGCCTTTTAGTTTTGTCCTGTGGCTTTTCTGTCTTTCCTTTTCTTCCTGGATTCTTTTTTTTTTTTTTTTTTTTCATTTCCATTTGTGTGCATTCTATAGATACTATCTTTGTGGTTACCATTGTAACTACATAAAACATACCAAAGTTAGAGCAATCTGTTTTAAACTGTTTACAACTTAACTTCAGTGGCATATAAAACTCTGTTCCTTTACATCTTTCACCTCCTCCCTACCAACTTTATGTCTTTCGGTATTGCATATCCTTAACAGAGATTTATAGCTACTTTTTATGCTTCTCTTCTTTAAATTCTGTTTAAATATTGTTTTTGAAATTTAGATTTTGAAGTTATTTATATACCTTCATTACAATACCATAGAATTTTATAATATTCTAAATATTGACCTTTACCATGGAGCTTCCTGTTTTCATATGGTTTTGTGTTGCTATTTATCAACCTTTTGTTTCTCCTTTCAGCCTTTCTTGTAGGGCTGGTCTAGTGGTGACAAATCATATTAGCTGTTGTTTGTCAGGGACAGTCTTAATTTCTCCTTTGTTTCTGAAGGGCAGGTTAGCCCATACAGTATTTTTGTTTGGTGGTTTTTTGAATTGCAAAACTTAGAATATAATATTCCACTTCCCTCTAGCCTGCAAGATTTCCATTGAGAAATGCACTTAATGGATTTTTTAATACATTGAGATTATTTTTTAGTTCTGTCCTGTAGGATTGAAAATTTTTAGTCTTTTTTTTTTTTGAGATGGAATCTTTGTTGCTCAGGCTGGAGTGCAGTGGTGCAATCTTGGCTCACTGCAACCTCTGCCTCCCGGGTTCAAGCAATTCTTCTGCCTCAGCTTCCCGAGTAGTTGGGATTACAGGTACACACCACAATGCCTGGCTAAATTTTTGTGTTTTAGTAGAGGCAGAGTTTCACCATGTTGCCCAGGCTGGTCATGAACTCCTGAGCTCAGGCAGTCTGCCTGTCTTTGCCTCCCAAAGTCCTGGGATTACTAGTCATATAACATATTAACATGTATTTTATACTTAAAATATCTTATGTTTAAAAGTTGATGATCATATATATTTTATACAGGGACCTAGAGTAGTAGGGAATAAAGCACGGCCTTTTGATCAGCATGCCTGATTCTGAGTCCTTCTTAAAAAACTTTGCTGAGACGAATTTTCCTCATTTCTAAAACAGAATAATAGATTTATGTTAGTGTTTTTGTAAGACCCAAATGAAATGTATGTAAAGTATAAAATGAGATACAGTTAGTAGAATTATTTCATTAATGCTCACCATGAGAGGTGTTCTTTAGATCCTGTGGCATTTGGTATGCAGTTCACGTTTGCTTAGAAGAACATGAGTAACTGGTGCAAACCTCATGTGTTCTGCTTCCTCAGTGGCCTCCTGCATCTCCACAGAGCCACTGCTTCCTACAGTGCCTGCTGCTTCTGTGAACCTGCAGCCCCATCCTGTAGAAATGGGGCTTCTCATGAGGTTGAGAATAGCTGTGAAAGTGTTTACATCGAGTGAAGTTGTAGAGTTCATTGTTTATTATTTTTCTTCTTTATTTATCTGGCAGCTCTTGAAGTCCTATTGGCTGGATAATTTTGCAAAAGACTCTGTAAACCCCGGAGTCATGGTGTTGCTAGGATGTGGTGCCCTATCCAGCACGTGTGGTCAGCTGGCCAGCTACCCTTTGGCTTTGGTGAGAACTCGCATGCAGGCTCAAGGTGAGTTTTTCATGACAGAGCTACACCAGTAAAAGTGCTGCACCAGTAAGATACGTTCAGAACTCCAGGTTCCACTAAGATGGTATCGCTCAACCTTTTTTCATTATTGCCTTCTTAAGGAATCTTTTCAGAAATTCATTTTCTAAATGCTCCCTCATCATGAAATTTTAATGTGACAGAAGCATTGCATATATACTGTATGCATACATATGCCTTATACATAAACAGGGTAAAATTTTTTTTTTGACTGTGTTACATGCACGTTTTAAGAGTATAAGCTTTGGTATCTGATGGATTTGGGTTCAGATCCTTGACTCAGACTTCTTGGGGTTTTTAATGGGAATGAAAATTGTACAGCATTGTAAGAATTGCCAACAATATAAATAAAGCATCTGGTGTTTGTTAAATTCTTGGTAAATAGTGGCTGGAATCATTTTTTAGTGTTGCTTGGATCCTACAAGTTTTGAGCTGTGATTCCTCCTCACTGAGACACTGTCTCCACTGTTGGCTTTGATTGCACTGTACATCTATGTCCTGGTTGTTCTGCCAGCCTATTGATAACTTTTACCATTTGCTGGCTGTTATTGCTGTGCTCACTCTATTAAAGTATGAATTCTAGTGCCTTTATTTTCTCTTTCTGCTTTCCCTGGTCAGTCTCATCCACTGTTGTTTTTTTACATAGCACATCTTGGTCATCTACAGCTCCATCCCCAGCCTCCCAAGTGCCACCCACAGCTCCCCCAACCAAGCAGTCATCATTAATTGGTGAATACTCCCTGAGCCATTGTCCCATTCTAGTCACTGCCAGATGCTAGGGGTAGAGCAGTCAGCAAGTCAGATGTGGCCTTGCCAGTGTAGAGTAGAGAAGACGTAGGACCAGCCAGTAAACAACCTGGTTAAACCAACTCCCCTATGTTAGGGGAGCACAGAGTGAGGGGCTGTAACCTGACTTCGGAGCTGCAGCACGTTGTCCGTGAAGCTGAGACTGGAAAGATGAGTGGGAGTTAGCTGGGCACAGGACAGTGGAGCAGGAAAAGAAACCCTTCCAGCTGAGGGAAAGTATGTGTGAAGACCCTGAGGTAGGCACCACGGTGGAGTATTTGAGGAGCTAAGAGGCAGTCATGGCTGCAGAGAAAAACACAAGGTAGTGAACTACATGTTTCTTGTGTATGCTCTCATTTCACCATCATAACCATCTTGGGGCTGGGAATACTAATATTATCCCCATTTTTAGGATGAGTAATGGGTCAGAGGGAGATTAACTGCCGCAAGATTATACCTGTGGTTAAATAGTGGGACTATTATTCAGGTGCATGCAGTCTAATTCCAACCCTCCTGTCTGCCAGCTGTGATCCAGACCTTTGCATGGCTGAAAGATTGTCACTCCTGACCTCAAAGTCTGATCATTTTACATCTGTTCAGACATCTTTACAACCCTTTGGTGTCTTCAAAGTAAATTCCAAAGTTCTTAGTGGGAATTTCAAAGCCTTTAATAATCTGGCCCCACTTTATTCACTGTCTGTGTCATAACCAGACACACAGTCAGCTCTGTCTCTATAGCACATGGTGCTCCTCCCCTTCTCTTGGTTGTGCCAGCGACACTGGATTTTGCTGCTGCTTCTTGCTTGTTGAGGTGATGTCCAAGGCCCAGGTCCCTGTACTTTTCCCAAGCTTCCCAGAGCTTCTTCCATACTCCCATTACTTCCCAAGATTTAACTGTCAGTGCCTGGCTAGTAAGAAGGAGGCAGCAGCGTTATACCAGCTTTGGAGTCAGACAGACCATTGGATCTCAGCCCTAACATTTTCTGCTTAGGTTTTTTAGTACAAGTTTCCCCATCTTTCTAAGCCTCCAATTGCTCACTTATAAAATTGGTATAATATTTACCTTGCAGGATTGGCATGGAAGGTAATTAACCCGGTATTTAGAACATAGCAATTAATATATAACTATAGTTACCGTCATTATTATAGTTAGGACACTCACTGTTAGGTGCTGTATAAAGAGAATCATAAAAGGGTGTTTTCTTGGGCTCCTTAGAATATATTTTATTCTTTTACTGTATTCTAGAATATTATTCTGAAACATAATTGTTTATTGTAATAAGAATGAAATATGCTTGAATATTAAATTAGCCTGGCCTCTTTATTTCTTTTTTAGCCATGTTAGAAGGTTCCCCACAGCTGAACATGGTGGGCCTCTTTCGACGAATCATTTCCAAAGAAGGAATACCAGGACTTTACAGAGGCATCACCCCAAACTTCATGAAGGTGCTCCCTGCTGTAGGCATCAGTTATGTGGTTTATGAAAATATGAAGCAAACTTTAGGAGTAACTCAGAAATGATGTTGAAATTCTTTTTGCTTTAGCATGATAATTGAAACTTTCAACAACCTCTGGAGTGACTTTTTCTCCTCGAATTGAAACAAGTCTTTGGCCAAAGAAACTGTATTTCTTTCGCAAAAAGGAAGATGATAACAATGCAACTTTTCAGCTCAATTATATGTACACAGAAATGTTAAAATTCATAGTTTTAATACGTTTTGAAAAGGCCACACAATTATACTTTATCTGTTCTTAATAGTCCTTCTGCAAATCTCTGCCCTGAATCCAAAATCTGAAAATGTACTTGCTTAAACAAAATTTGTTTTGTGTGGTTAAGTTATAAATCATTAATCTTTATTTTGGGCGGTTTACGTTTATGCCAGTTCCTTTATACTTAAATGTCTTGTTTTATATATTTTGAATATCTTTATAGATTTCTTTAAATTTCCTGTAGAACCATTAATAGAAAATCATTACATTTAAAATATACCCTACAGCAAAAGCATCCAAATAAGTGTAGGGTTTATGTCCTTATTTTTCTTTCAGCTGAATAGGAATGAACACAGCGGTAGAATTTCTAAAGAGAAGTGATGAAATTATCTTTACTTCAGTGGGCACTTTTCTATTTTACATGTACCATTATTTGGTTCCTGGAGTTATACACTAATTTTCAGTATATTACTGTTAAATTGTCGACACAAGACAACTTAATTGGAAGATTCTGTTCTCTCATTGCTGTGAAAAGCAGCAGGAAACAAAATCCTTTGACTTGTGACGGCTCCTGAACAGCATCTTTTTTCCTTTGTCCTTTGTTTCCTGCTTTTTAAATCAGATTTCATTTTAATCAGGAAGACTTCTTGGGATCATTTTTAGTAACCTGAAATTTCTTTTTAAATTACATGAAGTGGGATGATCATGAGTGAATGACGTGCTTATTTCTCCCTCGCTGTTGAATATCTTTGAGCCTGCTCTTCTCAATTTGGACAGCATAGAGGTGAGAGATACATATTAGTAGTATGTATTACTCATATACATTAGATACCTACATTTAAATGAAAGGCCCAATTTGTAAACATATACATTCATATTCTCTCTTGCTCCAAGTTTTAGGAACATGTTATGATATAGGAGACTTAATTTATAATAATGATAGCATTTTTAAATTTTACTAAAGCCATTTTTTGTAGTCAACTATCTTTTCTTATTTGTGTGTTTGGAACTTAGAAAAATATTTACTAATTGAAGTTATTGTCACTTTTTAATTTAGTTCTTAAATTCATTTGACTTCTAATAATTTCTGTTATAAATTGCCAGCATTTTAATGAAAATCTAATGACATAATAGGTATTTTTTGAACCTACCTCTTTTATTTTCTGAACCAAAGAGAAAGATGAACTGGTGTTTGTGAAGCATTTTCAAAAATGTAATTTCTTTTATATTAGTTATGTTTGATAAATATCTCAGTATTTTTATAATATGATAAGCCTGGGATTCTACCTTAAGGGTTGTTTGTACTTCTGAATAATATATAAAATGACAATATTAAGGTACATGATCAGCTCTATTTTTATTCATAAAAATTATGGAAATGAATAATTTTGCTAACATTTTTGAAATTCCAAACTTCTGGAAAATATGAAAATATTCATTGTTCATTATGAGTTTAAATTGTTCCCTATTTAACATTTGTAAGGCATGAATGTGATTTGTCTGTACATCTTGTATCTTTTCCAAAAAATGATTCTGTATCTTTTGGAAAAAAAGCTGAGAATCGAAGATAGTGTATTTCTGGCATTACTGAATATTTACTTGCAATTTCTATCAAAAATATATATTTGTTTTTAAAATGATTTGTTTTCCAACTTTTACTTTTTTAGAGAAAATTCTTAAGACTCAGTTTCCTAATTTTAAAAAATATATAAATAAAGCAAAAATTGTGTCCTACAGCTTAGATAGCTTAGATCTTGGACACCAGTTTGATTCATGCTTTTTACGTCTGGCTCCATGTAGTCTTTCCAAATATTTTGGCCCTTCCTGAGCATCCTTAGTAGATATTGTTTGTATGATGCATTTTTGGCACAAGATGATATTTTTTGTGATAGCAGAATTCCACATTTACCAACTAGAGTTACAACCCTGGGATTCACAGTGCCAAGGGGGACCCAGAGCTGCAGGATTGGCCTGGCTCATCTTGCCTTGGCATATCAGTTTGTCTTGAAATTGTAGGGAAAAAACTCTGAGTTCACTGGTAAGTAATTTTTAAAAATTTTACAATGTAGATTACAAATGCAACATTTGATTTAAAAAATAAAACTTAAGACTGCAGAGAAATTCTGCATTTCAACTCCAGTACTTCCCAGACTTCAGAAATAACTTATCAGTTATTTCAGTAAGCTTCTCATTTACCTGGGTATCCAAAGGTGAGATGGCTGTGGGAGACATTGGCAGTTCCCTGCCCACACACCTGTCCCTGACTACAACTGCACAAGGCAGCTCTGTGCAATTGCCAGCATCTGCTCCTCTGTTCCCAGGGACCCTTTGTAAGAAAAATGCTGCTGGATTTGTTTCTTGCCTGTTAGTCTTATCTCCTGGTGAAGAGAGTAAATTCATACAAACAGATTGTATTCTACAGTATTTTGTCTTTGAGCTTGACATTAGGTTGCATTTGTAAAAGCATGGCATGGCTTCCTCATTCCCTAATAGAAACTTTGCCAGCGCTTTTGTTCTCATGGAACTTCCTTGTTTGAGAACAGCACCAAAGGAGTAATAATATTGTGGGGGAGCAACCCTCCCTTAGCATATGCCCTCATTAGGAGACATGTGGGGTGGTCTGAAGTCATTCAGGCTACTCTCTGGGAGAGCACATCCTATAATGTTCTCCCAGCCAACCCCTTCCACCATGCTCAAGTCCAAGCTGCCCAACTCAGACCACTGCTGCTCTCTGACCACAGTATAAACAAAGATGATTGTCAGTGGGCATCAAAGTCCTATACTGAGACACTCAGCCACAGCCACTAACCCCAGGCCACTCCAGCATTTATTCTACCAGCATTCACTCACTCATTTGTTCTTGCAATGAGCATTTGTTAGGCACCTGTTATGGCTTGGCCTTGTCCCCACCCAAATCTCATCTTGAATTGTAACTCCCACAATTCCCACATATCGTGGGAGGAAGTGGTGGGAGGTGATTGAATTACAGGAGTGGGTCTTTCCTGAATTGTTTTCCTGATAGTAAATGAGTCTCATGAGATCTGATGTTTTTAAAAATGGGAGATTCCTGCACAAGCTCTCTCTCTCCTTGTCTGCTGCCATCCATGTAAGACAACACTTGCTCCTCCTTGCCTTCCACCATGATTGTGAGGCTTCCTCAGCCACATGGAACTGTAAGTCCAATTAAACCTTTTTCTTTTGTAAATTGCACAGTCTTGGATATGTCTTTATCAACAACATGAAAATGGACTAATGCAGTAAATTGGTACCAGTAGAGTGGGGCATTGCTGAAAAGATACCTGAAAATGGAAAAGTGACTTTGGAACTGGGAAACAGGCAGAGATTGGAACAGATTGGAGGGCTCACAAGAAGACAGGAAAATATGGGAAAGTTTGGAACTTCCTAGAGACTTGTTGAATGGCTTTGTTCAAAATGCTGATAGTGATATGGTCAATAAAATCCAGGCTGAGGTGGTTTAGGATGGAGATGAGGAACTTTTTAGGAACTGGAGCAAAGGTGACTCTTGTTACATTTTAGCAAAGAGACTGGGGACATTTTGCCTCAGCCCTAGGGATTTGTGAAACTTTGAACTTGAGACAGATGATTTAGGGTGTCTAGCAGAAAAAATTTCTAAGCAGCAAAGCCCTCAAGAGGTGAATTGGGTATTGTTAAAGGCATTCAGTTTTATAAGGGAAGCAGAGCATAAACGTTTGGAAAATTTATAGCCTGATTCTGCGACACAAAAGAAAAACCCATTTTCTGGGGAGAAATTCCAGCTGATTGTATAACTTTGCATAAGTAGCAAGGAGCCATTAACGTTAATCCCCAAATCATGGGGAAAATGTCTCCAGGTCATGTCAGAGACTTTCATGGCAGCCCTTCCATCACAGGCCTGGAGGCCCAGGAAGAAAAAGTGATTTCATGGGCCAGGCCCAGGGTCCTCATGCTGTGAGCAGCCTAGGGACTTAGTGCCCTGTGTCCCAGCCATGGCTGTAAAAGGTCAATGTACAGCTCGGGCTTCAGAGGGTGGAATTTCAACCCTTGGCACCTTCCCTGTGGTGTTGAGCCTGTGGGTGCAAAGAAGTCAAGAATTGAGATCTGGGAACCTTCACCTTGGTTTCAAAAGATGTGTGGAAATACCTGGGTGCCCAGCCAAGAGTTTGCTGCAGGGGCGGGGCCCTCATGGAAAACTTCTGCTAAGGCAGTGCAAAAGGGAAATGTGGGGTTGAAGCCCTCACACAGAGTCCCTACTGGGGCACTGCCCAGTGGAGCTGTGAAAAGAGGACCACCATCCTCCAGACTCAGAATGGTAGCTCCACAGACAGCTTGCACCGTGTGCCTGGAAAAGCTGCAGACACTCAACGCCAGCCCTTGAAAGCAGCTAGGAGGAAGGCTGTAACCTGCAAAGCTCACAGGGGCAGAGCTACCCAAGATCAAGGGAACCCACCTCTTGGATCAGTGTGACCTGAATGTGAGACGTGGAGTCAAATGAGATCATTTTAGAACTTTTAAAATTTGACTGCCCTGCTGGATTTCGGACTTGCATGGGCCCTTTGTTTTGGCCAATTTCTCCCATGTGGAACACCTGTATCTACCCAGGACCTGTACCCCCACTGTATCAATGCTTTTGATTTGAGAGGCTCATGGGTGGAAGGGACTTGCCTTGTCTCAGATGAGACTTTGGACTGTGGATTTTTGGGTTAATGATGAAATGAGTTAAGACTTTGGGGGACTGTTGGAGGTGTGATTGGTTTTGAAATGTGAGGACATGAAATTTGGAGGGGCCAGGGTTGGAATGATATGGTTTGGCTGTTTCCCCACCCAAATCTCAACTTGAATTGTATCTCCCAGAATTCCCACATGTTGTGGGAAGGACCCAGGGGGAGATAATTGAATCATGGGGGTGGGTCTTTCCTGTGCTATTCTCATGCTAGTGAATAAGTCTCATAAGATCTGATGGGCTTGTCAGTGTTTTCAGCTTTTGAGTCTTCCTCATTTTCTCTTGCCACCGCCACGTAAGAAGTGCCTTTCACCTTTGGCCATGATTCTGATGCCTCCTCTGCCATGTGGAACTCTAAGTCCAGTGAAACCTGTTTTTCCCCAGTCTCAGGTATTTCTTTATCAGCAGCATGAAAATGGACTAATACAGCACCCAGTGTGGGCTGAGGTCATAACATCGAGTAAAAGACTCAGTACTTTTTGTCTATTGGGGAGAGACAGACACACTAAGTAAAATATGTAGTGTGTCAGATGGTGCTCAGTGCAGAAGGCAGAGCTGGGTCTGCGGCCAGGGCTGCAGTTTTACATAGATAGATAGAGAATGCCTTACTGAGGAGGTGCTGCTTGAAGATGGTGCAGGAATGCGCTATACTGAGTCTGGGAAGAGCATCCAGGCAGCAGAGGGAAGCAGATGCAGTGGCCACAGGACGGGGGAAACCTGAAGAAGGCCCATGTAGCTACAGGGGAGGAAGCCCAGGGAGACAGCAATCCAGGAAGCAGAGGGGACCCTGAGGGAGCCACATCATCAGACGTTTCTCCATTTCTTGCTTTCTAGTGCTGCAAGAGCGGCAGTTTCTTGAGGGTGTTCCCTAAGTAAGATTCAAATGTCTCTCCTCGGGGGATGGTAGTGTCATTGGAAATGACGGAAAATGCCCCAGTTTCTGGGAACTGCCATGTCCATCACAGGTGGAATAGTTTTCCCTACTGCTATCTGCACACAAGGGCCCATTCCCCAGCTAGCATGTCTATTGGCTTCTCTCTGCCTCTACTTCTCCAGGGAGAATTGTAATTTTTTAAAAGAGAATTAACTTAGAAACCTTAAAATCTTTCTAGGTATTTTCCAAGAATTACAGAAGATGTTAATCTAGCAAACTAACAAGGCTACAAGTCATTTCCTTCTCTGATTATCTTGTATCTGTGCAGGGTTTGTTTGTTTCTTTGTTTTTAATTTACACAAGTTTTACAATGTTGGGAACAATCCTTTTATTTGATTTTTTGTTTTGTGTTCATTGATACTGTCCTGTTTTAAATTCATTTCCACAAAGTCAAGATAACCCTAACAAACAAGTGATTTGAATTTTGTTACTCCAGAAAGAGAGGCTGGTTTGTCCAGGTCTTTAAAATCTTTCTAAAGTACCCTTCGAACCTAAGGTTATCACAGACTCCTGGTTTTCCCCAGTCAGTATGAGTTTACACTCATCTCATTACACTGGTTCTACCACCAGTCTCAGCCATGGGCTCTGGATAAAGTGGCCTGCATCATAGCACTTGTAATCAGTGCCTTCTGTAGCCGTGCGTCACCCAGCCGGTCTTTGCCATACAGCAGGAGGTCACCGCATCAATCTTAGCGCAGCATATGGGATGGTAAAAAAAAAAGTGTAGTTAAGTCCAACTCGTTAACCACTCAGTGTTGTGCCAGTGATCTGGGGTGTTGGCCCCTTTGGACACTGGCCACGGTCTACACCAGTCACTTGTGAGACACCCTTTGTTCCTGCCTGCGTGGTCCCTTGGTTCCAGCAGTTGTGCCATGCTTGGAATGGGAGCAGTAGGGAAGACATGGAGATTCTGTGTCTGGGGTCTGGCCTTTCTATTCTGAAAGGGTGAGGAGTGGAATGTGAGGAGATCCACATCTCCCTTACCC